CAACGAATAGTGGGATTGACCGTCACATTATAACGCCCCCACGACTAAAAGGGCGAGCATGTTTGGTGTGACGGGGATTCGAACCCGCGACCCTCAGATTGCGAGTCGAGCGCCCTAACCACCTGGCCATGCCGGGCCTAAAGTATACAGTGATTATAAAGAAAACTTTATGTCTAAGATAATTATATCTTAAAAAAACAACTCTGCTTTATACAAGCAGAACTAAATTTCGCCCGAGATGCAAAGAAATTATAAGTTTCACTTAGGAATGTTCGGACATGGTACAAAATGTTCGTGAAAACTGTCACTGAAGGTGTTCAATCAATCAGCAATGAAGTAAGCAACTACCTAAAGCATAATTCATTATAGACATCGTTTCCCGGAATATCTTTACACATTGTCACATATTTTATTAAAGTTACTCATATTGTTGAAACAGAAAGACAAGGAAGAGAAATAAAAGTAACGTTCAACGACGCCAATTACGCGGGGACTCTGGACCTTGAGCCCCTTTCTGGAAATGAAAACGAGGTTCAGATTTCCTCGTTCGGAACTTTGGTTGCTGAAGCCAAGCCCCTTCGCCTTTTGTGTACTGGTGAAGTCTGTCAATTTAAGGTTTCATTTTGAAGTTTGTTATCGCAAAGCAACGTGGCTATCTGCGCCCCCAATTTAAGGAGTTATATCTACTTGTCCATTTTAGGTCTATGTCTTGTGCATTTAATTAAATGAATTATTATTGTTGTTATGAAATGAAAGCTTGAGTCTAATGAGTATTAGCAAAATGTGATGACTGAGGACTGTGTGTTTATAATCACTGTATAATTTTGATAACAATGACTAAAGGGTTTATTTATTTTGTTTGGTTGAACTTCGCGCAAAGTTACTCAAGGGCTTTCTGCGCTAGCCATTCTAACTTAGAAGTGATTAACTAAAGAAAAGGTAGCTAGTCAACACCATCCACAGCCAACTCGTGGGCTACTCTAATCGAATAGTGGGATAGACCGTCACATTATAAAGCCTGAAAGGGTGAGCATCTTTGGTGATGAGATTTAAACCCGTGACCCCCATATTTCCAGCTAGTCAACATCACCAAATGCTAACTCTTGGAATACTATTGTCTGACGGATTAAACCTTCATATTTATAACGCAGCCACGGCCTAAAAGTGCAACGAGCGATATTTATTATTATTGGCAGTAATGGGACGCGAACGTTAGACCCACAGATTCATAGTTCGGTACGCTTACTACTGGGACACGCTCGGCCCAATAATATTACAAGTGATATATTTAGCTAATTCTGCATCTATAAATACTTGTTTTTTAAAACGCTCAGTTCATGCAAAACATTTTTGATTCAAGTTTATGTGTAGTCCTTTCTTAAACATAGAACATTCGTAGACGCTAACCAATGGCTCTTCCAAGAATTATGATCAGTGGGGAGAGGGCCCATGTCAAAGGGTCCAACGTCCTTTTTCATTGCCAGTCAGTGTTCATTGTTTTCAAACATATGTTGTGTGTGTGTTTTTTTTTCTGTGGGGGGGGGGGGGAGGTCTGGAGACATGCTCTCTGACATTTTAAAATTCTTTGCATTTTTAGATGAAATAGTACATCTTGGTGCATTTTGAATATTAAATGTCAGCGTTGTACAAGTTGATATGTATTTAAACGAGGCCTAATTCATTACTGGTGCATTCTGGCCACGCTATAACCTCGTCCGAAACCTTCACGTGCATGTACATTATAGATAAAATATTATTAAGTTATTTTTTCTTTAGAAGGTTTTGTTTTATCCATGATTGATACTGAAATACAAAACATGGATATTACAACTGTACTCTAATCACAATTTGCACTCCAGCCGTGGTGAACAGAGTGCAGCATCTTGTAAGAGGTGAGAATTTACGAACACATCCAATGGCAAAATCTGTCCACGTGAACCAACAAACAGTACCAACATAATCGTCTACTAAAGCGACATATGTCACATGTACAGAAATTGTTTCCATGGCGTATTTGTTCAATCGCCGCATACATCAGGTGGAGAATGAAAAGGGTATTGGTACTGTTTCTTACGAAAACATACCAGTCAAGTCTGCGTGGATGGATTGTTGAAATGGACATTAGAAAACCGCTGTCCTTCTACACTAGATGGCTATGGAAAGCAAGCAGAAATGAGGGATGTGCTTTAGACATGACAGTCTTACGACGGAAATTTATGAGATGAATTTAAAAGCAGGTAGTGCCGAACTGAAAAATCTTTATATGAAAAAAAACAACAAAAAAACAGTTGTAATATGTTGAGAAAATTTCATAATAAGTTTTATAGAAATGAATAAAACACTATAACCCGAGCGCTTTCGAAAGGTGGACCTTTCTTCTTCAGGAGCAAACTCAAAAGCTGAAGAAGAAACGTCCACTTTTCGGAAGCGCTCGGGTTATAGAGTTTTTATTCATTTCTATCAAGACTTCTTGAACCCACGTGTTTTTCTAACATCATATTAAGTTTTATGATGTCTTATGCGGGCAACGGTAGAGAAAAGCGATATAGGTGGTTCAGTGGTAAGTTTGAAGTCTTATAAAACTAAAAATCGGGATTTGATCCTTGCGATAGAAATAGGATATGCAACTCATTGTGTAGCTTTGCGCTTAATTAAAAACAGACAAAAGAACAAACCATAGGGAAAGTAGATATAAGATATAACAATTTTAGGAATAGTTTTTTTCAAAATCACAATATACTTCACTACAAAGTTTGAGATTATCTTTGTATGTGCTACATTATTGATTCGGAATAAAGCTTACATATTCGTTGTTGCTGAGTTTCTAATCTTATAATAATTACACATAAATAATCTGTTTAAAAGGGGTCTAGTATGCTCTGCTGATCAGGACGCTCGAATAGCTATCTGTGGGTAGTGGGTAAGCTAGTCCTTTCATCCGTTGTGGCGTTTTAATGTTACAATCAATCCCACTATTCGATTAGAGTAGCCCAAAATTTTACGATGAGTGATGTTGACTAGCTGTCTTCCCTCTATTCTATCAATTGAAAAGTAGGGATGGCTAACACTGATAGCCGTTGAGTAGCCTTGCATCAATATCTGAAACAAACAAGCAACCTTGTCCAAATATAACATGTACGAAATACTTACTTGTTTTGCTGCCTTCAGATCTTTAAAGTGATTCACGTAAATGTCCGCTATCAAGATTAATGCGTTCATATGATCAGGATGAGTCTATAATCAGACAAAAAAAGTGATGTTAATAAAAATGCCTTTATCTCAATTCAGTTTTATTTCAAAGCATAGATTAACAAAATAATAAATAAATCACTTTTTTATCAGAACGTTCCAGAGTCGCAATGTGACAATTTGAGGATCAACTGTCGAAACGAGCGTATTTTAAATAATGGACATTTAAACTCATGCTTTATATGTACACTATATAAACAAACTTCGCCGATTTACATTTGACATTTCGTCTTTATAGTTGCCATGTTTAACATATACTCAGCGATACTGACTCCTAACGATGTTTACATATTTTCATGTCACAATGTGATTTTACGAGGTATGATTGTTTGACATTACAAAACCCCACGAATAGCTTGTGGAAATTATTCGTTAAACACAATTCAATAATAAAAATATAGCTTGAATCATTGTTATTATAAAATGGTTAGAAAAAGATACAGCTACAAATACTAACCTCTAGAAGTTTTCTTAAATACAAAATTGCCTCTTGGGGTCGTTGTTGTTCAGTCATAAGTAAGGCCAGATTGAAAAGGGCGCTTTTGAGGTGAGGTCGCACCTAAAATAAATCGTTGTAAAACGAGAAAATATAAATTTTGGTCTTTCTATCAGCAAAACACGTTCAATTATTGGATAATTCATGAAAAGTCTGATTTAATTCATGATAATTCATTAAAAAAATTATAATGATTTAAATTCAAACTCTACAATAGCACTACTTGCAAAGTCCATTTGAATTACTGTATATTGTTGAAATGTGTTCTTTCGCTGAGTTGATTCTTTTAAGTTATTTGGTGGCATAAGTCCACTTCACGTAAGAATAACAAATCAGTTTATATATTCCTTAACCTACAGGCTGCTATCATGCTATCACTTGTACACAGTTGTACTTACAGGTTTGAGTTCACAAATAACGATTTCACTTTCAAGAAGTTTACCTACTAATGGTATTACACCTAACATAGTATCATAAGCTATATTTTAAGCTTTGTAATTTTGTGTTGTTGATTAGAGGTAGTCGCAAGTCGAAATTATGACGTTAGATCGTAAATTTGAATAAGAATAGGCCTAGAACATTTAGCAAGTTTTAAAAAATTTGACGTCAAGTGTTCTAGTAAGTTCCAGGGTACATTATGAATTCGAGATAGTTGTGAAGACTTAAGAGTTTTTTTCAGGGCAGTAGAGTCGTTTCTAGTGGGCAGAGCGAAACATTAATTTTTTTCGTTGTTGTTGTTGGTTTTTTGCGTGTGTGTTTAAGCCATGAAGTGGTACAAATAAGTATATTCTTTAGATTGTATGGTCTACACCCGTTATTGAAGAACCTTCCTGGACTACACCAAACTTTACCAAATTTTGTTCCAGGATTTAGTTGACCGGTTAAATATTGGCCAATAGAGTAAATAATAAACTACGATGTGAAGGTACCATGGGAATTATACCAGGCTCAATTTGAAATCACATCTACAATTAATGGGCAGAATAATGAACAACAAGCCAACCATACTGCTACTCATTTAAAATAACCAACTTTGACAAAATTAAGTTACATTCCATCTGAGAGATGTAACTACTACCAAGCATTTATAGAAAAAGTATCCAGATCAAAGTTTCAAAACAGGGTATGGAGGAAAAAAAAGGCCTCAGCCAAACTTGTAGAAGATTTGGACACGTGAGACACGTGGACTCATTAGAGCCATTAACATAAAGAAAAAAAAAGAAATTAGAGTAAAATCTGGACGGGGCATTGCAAGATATGAAGCTGTACAGGGATTATTACCACCAACTATATAACTTGTTCACAGAATATCAAGACACTTTCTCCAGTTGACCTCATGTTTTAGGCCAAACAAGTAAAATATATTACAAAATTGATACTGGAAATATATTCCCAAAATGATTAGCCAGATGACTCTTACTTGCAAAACAGGCTGAGGTTTTCAAAGAGATAGAAGCCATGTAAGAGCAAGAAGTGTTAGAACCGAGTACTAAGTCCTTGGGCATCACCTGTTGTACCTTGGAAGAAGAAAAAACAATTTTTGATCAAATTAAAGGATGCCATGATGTTGATGCTGATAAAACTGGATTTCATGGTATAACTGACCAGTTTTCGTCACAAGAGAGACATATTCTGCTTATAAGGCGCATACACAGTACTGAAAAGAATCAATGATACGGATTACATAATTCAGAGGGACCAGGTAGTCTATGTCAAAGTTTATCCACCGTGATTATCTTTGAAAGTACGCCAGTGAGAGAGTGAGCAACTGGGTAACTACAGAGAAGAATTTGCAAGTGGAAAGTTAACCTGCTGAGGATCCAAGGGTTTCTGTCGAGAATACTTCTGGAGGATCATCAAAAATGGAGCCACCATATTCGCTCAATCACTTAGCTAGGAAAAATTCCACTAATGACAGGACAGTCAATGATAACAAGGGACAAAAGGACATCCCATATGTATACTATGGGTCTCGAAAGATAAAACCATCAAAAAGACTTCGTTAATGGATAGTTTAATGTAGCGTTTTATTTTTGTGCTTGGATTGTGCAAGGGACTTCACGTTTTAGAAAGGGAGCAGTGTTGTAATTCATAGTTGATATTTCAATTTAGATGTTAGCTAGGTGGCACATGACGTTAGTCCTAGACTATCTAGAATAATCTAGATGACATCACTAAAATCAAGTAACTTTGTTGAACATCTAGAAGTGAGACCTCAGTTACAAATACCAGTTAGTAGAGTGAAGGTGTAGTAAATGTCAATTTGAAGTATTCAGCATGTGACTGCCGAGTAGTTGTTGATCAAGTGTTAGACAATTTTTCAATTTATTTTCAGTGAAGTAGTTGGACCACTGTCAATTATTGAGTATACCCAGCTACAAATTTTACAAGTAAATTTACTTGTGCGTTAGTCAGAGTAACAGTGGGGTAGTGTATCCGTATAAACGCCATTTTTTAAACTTAGGACTACAAGTTACAAAATTTGTTTGTTTTGAATTTAGCAGTGTAAGACTAGAGGGAAGTCATCATCACCCACCGCCAACTCATGGGCTACTCTTTTATCAACGAATAGTGGGATTGACTGTCACATTATAACGCCCACATGGCTGAAAGGGCGAGCATATTTGGTAGGACAGGGATGCGAACCCGCGATCCTCAGATTGCGAGTGGAGCTCCCCAAACACCTGGCCATGCCAGGTCAAAGTTACAAAATGTATAAACTTGTAAAAACGTTAAAGAAAAAATAAAATAATTTATCATCACGTGGACTGAACTTCGATTTATTTTCACCAGATGATATAACAAAGTCTTTTGATCACTAATATTTGCGAATATTCTAGGACACTAGTATTATAAGCATAGTTGATCTTAACGTCATGTGCCATCCAGCTAAAATCTAAATCAAAACATTGAAAATAAAGATTACAACAATATGTTCAGTGAACTGCCCTTCCTGAAACACAAATATTTAGAGATATAGAATAAGAGATAGAATCTTGATAAGAAGCTTAACGTAACGTAGCAACTAGGTTTTATAGGTATTAAAGTTTAAATAACAGACAGGAAAGTGTTTCGGTACTATCTGAAAGAGATGATTTCTTCATGTAACCTCAAGCGCTTTTCTAAACCACTCCTCAGCGAGGGCCAGGTCTTTTCTCTCCAAAGCCACTTTTCCCAGGTTGAAATACACAAGTTCGTTTTCCTTCCCGTCGTTCACTATCTTCTGCAATCTATTCCAAATACATGGTTTATATTTGATTTAAATTACAAATTGTAAATATACCATAACATATTCTGTAATTATCAAATTTCGTACATTAAATTCGGTTAAAGTATACTATACAAGAAGAGTAAAATCGAGTGTACTTTTATTCCAATAAACTTACTAATGTTCTATGTACATTTTTATGTGTGTACTTTTATTTCTATGTTGGCATTTGCGATATTTGACCGAAATTTCGATCCTCTATGAACATTAATTTTAACTTTATCATCTTTCTAGATGGATATTCATCATTGTGTATGCGTACAACCGACTTTTTTTTCTGTGCGAGGGAAAATAAACATGAAGATAAATATAATTGAAAATTTCTAAAATCTTTAAGAACATAAATAAATACTGAAGCACTGTGGTGTCTTAGATGAATTCTGTTTTTGTTAGTCCCTAAATTCTCTTTATAGCTTAAATCATAATTCAAAGTGTGTACCATATTGTTCAAAATTAGTTCTGGCGTTTTGTGGGTAGTTAACTTATCTTTCAAGAATTGTTTATTTTATTGATATTTGTTTTAAATTCTGTTTTGTATTCCGTCAGAACCTTCAGAGTTTTCAACCTGGCTGATTTCAACCAATGTCAGAATGATCAATGTATGAGATTAACATCATAACGTTTGGTTTATTTGCTTAAGTAATGAGGTCATTTAATTTTATGAATTATACTTTAATTCAGTAAATATTCCCCAATCTTTTTTAACCAAGGATATATATATATTTCTATTCATTTACACGACAACTACAAAAACCTATAAAAAACAGTATTTCTAATGACTAAAACCTTTCGTTTGCGATTCTTTGATCTCCTGGAGGCATGTTGGATTCTTGAATCAAAATAGCCGAATTCATCAAAGCTGGCTAAAAGAAAAATCATACAAATTCACTAAAGTTAACCAATAAAAAGCTGGCACACTTGAATATCTCATCAAAATTAGCAATTTGATAAATATTGTTATTGACTTTGAGTAGAACTAACAAAAGAAACTGGATTTATAGAATATTATTTGCAACTGTTATTAATGGGAAAAAATGGAAGTGAGAAACAAGAGAAAGGCACTTCACGATTTACAGTAATTTAGCGATATAAGTTTGTTTTGGTTTAAGTGAAGCTCAGCAAACACAACCGAATGCAATAATATCTTAAAATTTAATTTAGTTACTTTCTTGATATATGTATATTTTGTTATTGGTCTAAAACTGTTTGCTTTAGAGACTTGCTCATATCTTTGTAAAACAAAGTAACCATTCTTTAAGTCTATATAAATTAACTAATTCTTAAACGTGAACCATTGGTGTGATGTATTAGCAACCCTAAACTGTACGCAATAAATGTCTGCATTAAATATTAGTAAAATAATTATTAGGAGATGACTACAGAGGTTGAGTACGTTTTATCAAATATAGAAACGATTTTGGAGACTCACAACGTCGTTACAGTCTATGTCGACACATCCGGCCTTACTTTAACTGACGAATATGCATGTAGCCAATAGTCCTGTAGCGTAATTTTCATGGCAAAAGATTCTGTCGCAAGGATGTCCTGTCCAAACTACACCACACACACCTTCTTGTTTAATTCCATAAGCCATACAATGTGTGTATGTATGAGGACGACGGTTTATCAGCGCCTGTTTCAACAGTCTGACAACTTGATTGGTATGACTTGGTATAGAATAGCATGAATATTCGTTTTATTCTCCAGCTTCTTGAGACAGACTACGGCTGAGTGGATATATCATGGAAACAACTTGTGTATACGTGATTTGCGTATTATTATTCATTTATTATGTTACGTATTGCTGCATAGGTTTGTGTCACTAGCTTTTGTTTTCGTATATTATTTCCTGTTACAAACGCAATATTTTGCTCACCCACGTCCTGGATACGACATGTTGCAGTTCACTTTAAAAATCTAAAGCCCCGATCTTAAATCATTTTTTGATCCGAGAGTATATTGCGTCAGGAAGACCCGTTACATACTCTTTCAAAAAGGGGTCAACTTTCGGTGGCAACGCATTACTTACGCAATGCCAAACAACGTCAAAATGTAGTCCTGATGCAATCCGTTTCCCCGCCAGTTTGTAGCGGTTGTGGCTTACTTATGAACTGGCTTATTTGCATATTCAATATAATTTTAATATAACTTACTCAACCCTCTGTATTACAAAACAATTATAAAAGGCAATAATATAAAATTCTTCGTTGCGCTTTCTTGTTGTAAACACAGTAATGCGAAGTTTTTAAATCTGCGTACCTTAATTTATTGACCTTTTCTTATATATTAGAATAGCGCTGAATCGCGAATTTTATAAATTTCATCCTCCTTCCGAGTGGCTTAGCGATAAACTTGAGGGCTTATAACGATAACATGTGAGGTTCAATTACTGGACGGGCACAATGTGGATATTCCAGTATGCAGATTAGCATTTAACAACAAACAAACCTGTTTATTCTTCAAAAAATCGAGTTACAATCAATTTTTATATTAGTTATCAGGTAAAAGCTATTTACCAGTAAAAGTAGCACAAGAATGTACATGTTTAACAATTCTTACCCCGTGGTCTGGGTCAATTTCCAAAGCTTTGTTGAAGAACGAGAGGGCGTCATAGTTTCTTCCCTGGTCAATAAGAATTACTCCAAGCTGGGAAACAGTAAACAGTTTTAAAATAAGCTATTTAAACAAATCTAATAAAACAAAGGCATTTTGATTATACCCAAAACAAAATTGTCATTAATGAGGCAATAATATGAACATTCTGGTGTTCCATAGATTTGAAAATCAATAAAAAATGTTTTAATATATGTGGAAATATTACTAAGTGTTTGTCCAGCAAATAAGTTGCTCTCCAACTTTTCTAATCATTACTAAATATTGATCATTCATAGAATTAAAACGATTTTAAGGATTTGTAATCGTTATAAGAATGATCCCTAACAGTAGATAGGTAATTACAACAAGTGTTAGCTTCTATATATTTCTCGAGAACAGTCACTGTTCAATTTCAAGCTATATATATATTTGATATCATGGACATTTTCGTTTGACTACTGTGAGCATCAGAAATCATCTACATGCCTTCGAATGTTCAACATAAACTACACAAAATAATCAAAAGATAATCAGAACTTATAAAGTTACAGCTATGACAAGTAAAAACCACTGTTATAAAATAACACCAGTCACTCCCTCTTTATGCAAATATGTATATAATTCAAGATATACTATTTCCAATCAAAATATTTTTTTTATTAACGTGTGTTACACTACTATGAAACCTTACTGGATAATTTGTGGGTCAGTTACAAGTAATGTTTTTTTCTTTTCGGAGTGGTTCATAAAATTTAAAAACTCCCGCGAACGAAAACTAAAATTACAAATGTGCTTCATTTGGTTTTTTGACCTTGTATTAAAAATGACAAAAACAAAACATACTTACGTTATGATATATATCAGGGTTAAGTTGATCGAATTCCAAAGCACGACAATACATGGTTTCTGCTTCTTTGGATCTGAACGATACAGAATTTAGCTTATTTATTCCCAGGAACCAGAGTAACATAGGAACAAAAGTAATATAGAGTTTAGTTCACTTATACCAAGGAACAAAAGTAATATAGAGTTTAGTTTACTTATACCAAGGAACCAGAGTAATATAGAGTTTAGTTTACTTATACCAAGGACAAGAGTAATATAGAGTTTAGTTTACTTATACCAAGGAACAAAAGTAATACAAAGTTTAGTTTACTTATACCAAGGAACCAGAGTAATATAGAGTTTAGTTTACTTATACCAAGGAACAAGAGTAATATACAGTTTAGTTTACTTATACCAAGGAACCAAAGTAATATAGAGTTTAGTTTACTTATACCAAGGAACAAAAGTAATATAGAGTTTAGTTTACTTATACCAAGGAACCAGAGTAATATACAGTTTAGTTTACTTATACCAAGCAACAATAGTAATATAGAGTTTAGTTTACTTATACCAAGGAACCAAAGTAATATAGAGTTTAGTTTACTTATACCATGGAACAATAGTAATACAGAGTTTAGTTTACTTATACCAAGGAACCAAAGTAATGTAGAGTTTAGTTTACTTATACCAAGCAACAATAGTAATATAGAGTTTAGTTTACTTATACAAATATCCAGAGTAATATAGAGTTTAGTTTACTTAAACCAAATAACCAGAGTAATATAGAGTTTAGTTTACTTATACCAAGCAACAATAGTAATATAGAGTTTTAGTTTACTTATACAAATATCCAGAGTAATATAGAGTTTAGTTTACTTATACCATGCAACAATAGTAATATAGAGTTTAGTTTACTTATACCAAGGAACCAAAGTAATATAGAGTTTAGTTCACTTATACCAAGGAACCAAAGTAATGTAGAGTTTAGTTTACTTATACGAAGCAACAATAGTAGTATAGAGTTTAGTTTACTTATAAAAATGAACAAGAGTAATATAGAGTTTAGTTTACTTATACCAAGGAACCAAAGTAATGTAGAGTTTAGTTTACTTATACCAAGGAACAAAAGTAATATAGAGTTTAGTTTGCTTATACCAAAGAACCAGAGTAATATAGAGTTTAGATTGCTTATACCAAAGAACCAGAGAAATATAGAGTTCAGCTAACTCATTACAAATACACCTGACTAATACAGTTTTGATAAAGATTTCGAAGGCATCCAAATAATACAGGATTTAACTTACTTATTGCAAGGCACCTGATTAATATAAGGTTCAGCTTACATGTTACAATACACCTGAATAATATAGAGTTTATCTTTCTTATTACAAAGTCATCTGACTAATATAGCATTTAGCTTAGTTACTACAAGGCACCTGACTAATACAGGGTTTAGCTTACTTATTACAATACACCTGACTAATGTAGAGTTCAGTGTACGTATTACAATACACCAAACTAATATAGGGTTTAGCTTTCGTGCTACAATACACCTGACTAATATAGGGTTTAGTTTACTTATTATAAGATCACCTGAATAATAGAGAGTTTAGCATACATATTACAATATACCTGAGTAATATAGAATTTAGTTTACCTATTACAATACACATGACTAATATAGGGTCTAGCTTAGTTATCATAAAGTACCTGACTAATACTGGGTTTAGTTTAGTTATCATAAAGTACCTGACTAATACTGGGTTTAGGTTATTTATTACCATACACGTGATTAATATAGGGTTTAACTTACTTATTGCAAGACGCCTGACTAATATAAATTTAGTTAGTTATTACAATACAACTGACTAATATAGGATTTAGCTTACTTGCTACAAGATACCTGACTAATGTAGAGTTGTGCTTACTTACTACAAGATACCTGACTAATGTAGAGTTGTGCTTACTTACTACAAGATAGCTGACTAATGAAGAGTTGTGCTTACTTACTACAAGATACCTGACTAATATAGGATTTAGCTTACGTACTACAAGATACCTGACTAATGTAGAGTTGTGCTTACTTACTACAAGATAGCTGACTAATGTAGAGTTGTGCTTACGTACTACAAGATACCTGACTAATGTAGAGTTGTACTTACTTACTACAAGATACCTGACTAATGTAGAGTTGTGCTTACTTACTACAAGATACCTGACTAATGTAGAGTTGTATTTACTTACTACAAGATACCTGACTAATGTAGAGTTGTATTTACTTACTACAAGATACCTGACTAATGTAGAGTTGTGCTTACTTACTACAAGATACCTGGCTAATGTAGAGTTGTACTTACTTGTCAGGTATCTTGTAGTTAATGTAGAGTTGTGCTTACTTACTACAAGATACCTGACTAATGTAGAGTTGTATGTACTTACTAGAGGCTTTTTTTTAGTAGAACTACTTGTATTAATTGTTTCCGTGCCGGGTGATCTCATAACACCAACGAGCGGAGTTACACTTCATCAACAACAGCGACTGACTATATAGAACTTCCGATCGTTCATCAACAACAAAGTCTGACTATATAAAACTTTCGATCGTTCATCATCAACAACGAGTGACTATATAGAACTTCCGATCGTCCATTAACAACAACAACTGACTATATAGAACTTCCGATCGTTCATCAACAACAAAGTCTGACTATATAGAACTTCCGATCGTTCATCATCAACAACGAGTGACTATATCGAACTTCCGATCGTTCATCAACAAAAACGACTGACTATATAGAACTTCCGACCGTTCATTAACATCAACAACTGACTATATAGAACTTCTGATCGTTCATCAACAACAGCAACTGACTATATCGAACTTCCGATCGTTCATCAACAACAGCGACGGACTACATAGAACTTCCGATCGTTCATCAACAACAGCGACTGACTATATAGAACTTCCGATCGTTCATCAACAACAGCGACTGACTACATAGAACTTCCGATCGTTCATCAACAACAGTGACTGACTATATAGAACTTCCGATCGTTCATCAACAACGAATGACTACATAGAACTTTCAATCGTTCATCAACAACAACGACTGATTGTTCATCAATAACTTGAAAGTGCGGGCGTGTTTTTGGAATAAAATATACAAGCCGGAGTAACAGCATAAAACTGTTATAAGATCGAAAACGTTTAGGTGATCACGGAAGGTTACACTAGTTGATATTGAAAATAAAAATTTCACGACGTGAACTGGACAGATCCCTTTTATTGCATCATTTGTTACTTAAAAAGAAAGAGTTACTAATGCAATGACTGTGGTTTTACTCTTTAACCGCTTTTATTGTTGTTGTTGTTTCGGTCGTCCCCCTGTGGGACAGCGGTAAGTCTACGGACTTACAACGCTAACACTCTGGATTCGATTCCCCGAGGTTGACACGGCAGATAGCCCAATGTGGATTTGTCACGCATAATTTTTTCTATCAAAAATTTTGTAAAAACAATGAATTTTGTACACGAGATAATTAGGAAATGATTAATTTATGTGAGGGAAATGCCAGTTGCTGCTAATTGTCTACTTCACGTTCCACAAATAAAGTCATTAGGGTTTAATGTAGTCGGTACGTACTGCAATGTGGACTATTTTATGCTAAAGTTCTTTTTATATGTTTTTCGATAATAATATTCTCAGTCGCACAGTTAAGACTAGTTTGACTCTGATGAAACTAAGTTGAATGGACGGTAACTGCCTGTTGTAGAATCACAAGTGTAGAAGCTTATGTTTCTACAACAGGCAGTTACCTACCGTCCATTCAATTTAATTTCATTATGAATACTCTGCCTAAACCATCTATGAAAGAATAGTTAGGACTCTTATTAATTTTCCCCTTTATGTAGGATTGGCTTAAATACTTCATAAATGTGTGTTTAGAGTCTGTATACTCCTCCCGTGGGATAGTGGTGAGTCTACGGTTTGTTTGTTTTTGAATTTCGCGCAAAGCTACACGAGGACTATCTGCGCTAGTCGTCTCTAATTTAGCTGTGTAAGACTAGAGGGAAGGCAGCTAGTCATCACCACCCACCGCCAACTCTTGAGCTACTTTTTTACCAACGAATAGTGGGATTGACCGCACATTATAAGTCCCCCCCCGGCTGAAAGGACGAGCATGTTTGGTGTGATGGAGATTCGAACCCGCGACCCTCTGCGGACTTACAATGCTAAAATTCGTTGTTCGATTCCCTGCGGTGGATACAGCAGATAGCTCAGTGTGGCTTTGCATGTATATATGTATGTTTGTAGTTAAGCACAAAGCTACAAAATGGGCTATCTGTGCTCTGCCCACAATGGACATCGAAACTCGGTTTCTATCATTGTAAATCAGCAAACACGTAAAGGGGGGGGGGTGCAGGCTTTGCCATAAATACCAAACAAACAAAAGAATTTTGTATACCATATTTATTTCTTATTTTCAGTTGTATCCACTAATACGTTTTAAACACATACCCAACATTTCCAAACAAACCCAAGTGTTTTTTTTTCTTTCTTTACATAGAATTGTTTGGGTAGATTTTGAAATTGAGTTTATCTGCAGTCGACATAAGTACTTCATCCCGATAAACGATACACTAATAATGAACATAATAAATATTGGTTATAGTTTACAAAGATGCACTACACGTACAAATAAACTTACTTTTTATTTAAAAAAACAAAATGAAATCGATACACTAATTGTCTCAAAATTTTGGCTCCATAGGAAAAGAGACTTTATGTATAACACGTCCAACATGTTATGTCAAACGTTTGAATTCAAGGAAAATAAAAATTTTGACGTGATATGATTGATGTGTTATCTACAGAGTTTCATTTTGTTAAGAAGCCAGACTCATGGAACTTTCTGTATTTAATTTTTCTTTTATGCTATTTTTTCTTGTTATATGTTCTTTGTTATTTTTCCAACAAGATAATTAAAAATTGTTAATTTGAAAAGGGGAATAGGGATCGTCCAAAAAATACAGAGATGAGTTGAATCAAAGTGCAAAGATTATGTTTTCACACCTACAACTATAGATTCTTAAAAAAAGTAAACAAATTAGGCTGGAAATAGTGTCTACATTATTTTCTCAAGCTACAAATCCCTATTTTCACTTCATGTCTACAGTACTTATCACTTTTAGTGAAGTCAAAATAGGAATTTGTAGCTTGATAAAATAATGTAGACACTATTCCCAGCCTAGTTTGTTTACTTTTTTTAGAGTCCCTAGTTGCAGGCTTGAAAATATAATCTTACATTTTGATTCAACTCATCTCTATACGGAAAATCAATTTTTTTTGCTATTATCGATATTATAGCTATTGAGATATACATGTATATAGGACTTGAGTGTTGTTTCAAGAACAAGTTTGCTTTTGAAGATAGTTTTTGCCCGTATGTTCTGTTAGTATTTTTTTGAAATTCCTGGGCGAACCCTATTATGAACCATTATCGCGTTTCTCGATATTTGCTTGAAAGAGTTAAATATTACAATTATAACTCGTAAACAAAACGCTAATCGCATTTCTACTGTAACATGTAATAACATCAACAGTTATAATATACTCATAACGATAATTAGAAAGGTCGAAAAATATATGATTATGAATACATAACTAGCACTAAAGTTTAATTTTACTCTGGGAACAAAGATCAATAAAATAATATCTAAATTAAGCTGGGAAGAATGTTTATAGAGAAGCGACTCCTAAGTCGAAAAAAAGTTGATAAATTATTAACTTAAGAGAAATCAACAAATGAAAAATGGAAAACTACTTTTGGCCAGAGAAGGGACTGACAAAAATATTAGTATTCAGAAAAATGAAGACAAAGCTTAAAAAAGAAAGCCTATTAACATCTAAAGAAGAGAACGTCCAGACAAGGGGGAAGATTGTTACCATTTAGGGAAGAGTACCTCAAGATAAAAGGAAAGTTGTTAGCATGTAAGGAATAGAACATCAAGACAGAACGAAAGAGTTAGCATCTAGTGAAGAAAATATTAAACCGAGAAGGGAAGAAGACTGTTAGCATCTAGGGAAGAGAATGTCAAGACAGAAGGAAATAAGGCTCTTAACATGTAGAGACAAGTACAAGAAGACAAGAAGGAATAATGTTAGCCATTAGGGAAGAAAACTCCAAGAGAAGAAAGAAGAGAACATCAAGGCAGAAAGAAGACTGTTAAAATGTATGGAAAAGAAAAAGCAAGACAGAACGAAGGCTGTTAGTATTTAGGGATAAGAACATTAAAATAAGAAGTAAGACTATTGGCATCGTTACCAAGAAACGAAGTATACATGAAAAATAACACAGATAAAGAAGAAGAGGTGTTTACACCTAGAAAAGTTATTATCAACATTAGTTAGTGCACAAACTGGTCGGAGAGCTGTTGGTATTCGAATAGAAGATCAAAAGAGAATATACACTAAAACAATGGCTACTGGTATTCAGGAAAGATATAATCATAAATACGCTAAAATTAGAAAATATGATATGATCACTGGTAAGAGTTAGCAAACGAAACAAAAAATATGTTTATATCGATGAAAAAAATAGTCAATATTACAAAGGAACGATTGTAAGAGACGAGAGAAAAGTGTTTTACCGGCTATGGAAAAAAATGTGTTTGTAGAAAATATTAATTCCGGAAAACATTACACAGATATAGAGGGAGAACGTGAGTGTTCTGAAAACAATAAAAACAGTGAATGTTTAAACTAAGCAATTATTTGCTTCAAAGGCTCATCACAGTATGAGATTACCATTATTGTAACAATAACCAGCTTCGAGGGCTCATCACGGTAAGAGATTATCATTAGCGTAACAATAACCAGCTTCGAGGGCTCATCACGGTAAGAGATTACCATTAGCGTAACAATAACCAGCTTCGAGGGCTCATCACGGTATGAGATTATCATTAGCGTAACAATAAACAGCTTCGAGAACTCATCACAGTATGAGATTATCATTAGCGTAACAATAACCAGCTTCGAGGGCTCATCACGGTATGAGATTACCATTAGTGTAACAATAAACAGCTTCGAGAGCTCATCACGGTATGAGATTACCATTAGTGTAACAATAACCATATATTCCCATACTTTTAAAAGCGTGAAGACTCAGGTTTAAAGTTTACGTTAAAACGAATTCCTCTAGATCTTCCTTAAACGTCTAGAATATCATTCTCTGGTAATGTCTATATGGTTAAAATTAAGATAAATCACTGTTAGAGGGAAATAACCGTGTAATTTTACAATTTTATGTTGTTTTTTTCTCTTGGTACTGAGAATATGTCTATATACATGTATAGACTGCATTAAAATATACGTTTATCAAATATGCACCCAACATTTAACTTTTGTTTTAATGTTAGAAACTGATATTAGCTTTTCAAAAATCTTTATGAAATATGCAGAATAATAACAACTGGAAATGTTTTTCTAATTGGTGCATTTAAATGCAAACATACGTTGCTCATTTAATATAAGATTTCAGTGTATAAAGTATTCTTATAAAACAGCTAGCTCAGTTCAAGTTATTTAAACATTACTAGAGCTACATAAATAATTCATGATAGATTCGCTTCTAGCATGTTAGTACACTAAAACTATAGAGTTAGACTTATCTTTTTATCTTTTTCAAAGAACAAAGGTTAATACTTAACTTGAATTCTAATGTACTACATAAGACAATTTTATTAAAATATTGATTGAAAGTAGTGAATGTAACATAATAAGCGCTTACTGTAAGACAGACATCATTTATATTTTATAACATACTTAGACATAAGCAAAGGGTTATCAAGAAGATGGTTGTTACGTTAAATACGGTATTGTGGGCCTATTCTGACAAAATGTTGGCCAAGTGTAAATTTGATGTTTTAACAAACCTTTACATTTTTAGAGAATTGTCTTATGCTGAAATGTTACCATAGTTAAAAATGTGTTTTGTTTAAAACGTATTGATTATATTTCCTTCTCTAATACGTTGTTTAAAAATCTAAACTTACTTTATCAAACACGTAATCTTCCTGGACTATTTTAACTCGAATAAAAATCACATCACAGTTACCAAACTACAGTGCTTTCTTTACCTGTTTAGTTTTAGAAGAAGATTTCCTCTGTTTACGTAAGCTTCTGTAAAGTCCGTCCTGATTGAGATGACCTCCCGATAGAGCTATATAGGAATACATATACGACTACACGTAATTAATTCTTTTATCACGATTTGTTCAAAAACTGTCAAACCTGAACCAACTTTATTTTTCTCATCTTCAACAATAGTATTAGAGTTAATGAATCAAACTGTAATCAACTACAGGGATTTTCTTTCAGAATATCTTCTTGGGAAAGAAGGATTTTATTTGGTGACTGATGTGGCATTTGAGATCCGAAGGAGAAGTATGTCTATAAAGACGGTCTAGTTCAGACATTCCCAACCAGGGGTACATTTGCACTTCTCAGGGGGTACATAGGGGTCTGAGAGTATAACCATAGTGTACACTTTATATGGTGTTTTAATCTACAGTCAGACAAAGAGCGCAAAATGGCTCACATAAATATACGCTCTTTAGACAAAATGTTCTGATCATGGTGAACGTTGTGATGTTATTGCTGTGCTACATTATAACTTATGTTTTGAATAAGTAATGTAGAACATAAGCAATATAGAACACCCTCGTTACAAATCAGCTCTATAAACTACGGATCAGCCAACTGGGCAAGCTTTCCTCCTTCCATTAGTGCTTTGGGAGAGAATGCCCAAGGGATACAGAGGAACAAAAAGGTTGGGAATCCCTAGTCTAGTTGTATTCGCCAATTATGTATAAAACGGTAAAGTTTTAAGAACATCTAGTTTTTTTTCACACCAAAAGTTGTAATCTAAAAATAAAACTATTAACTTTGCAAAAACATCTTTGGGGAAGGAATCCTTTGGATTGAGTTTAGGAGGAAGTTTCCTCCTGCCCTATGGAAAGAAAACCTCTGAATTATATCGTTTACAGCTGCGGAATGAAATATAGAAGAAGTTATACTGAAACATGTTTCTTGATAATTTATTTATTTTTTACTCCGCAACTAAGTACTTGTGCAACAACTCTGAAGCCGGTTTTTAATTGAGAAAATAATAGAAAATGTTTTAACTTTCCTATCGGTTTGGAGGGAACAAGTTCAAGTGATAGATATTACAATAAGCGCTAACATATTTTGTGTGTACGTGTAAATCTATCTATCTATATATACATATACACAGATTCTGCTAAAATCTATCGTCCTCTTAAAACTCTTTTTTTTAAAAAAAGTAGCTGTACACTATATTACGTAACCGAAAGAAAATCAGGAAGAACCCAAATCAGTTCAGTACATTAAACTTACGTTATCTGCTTCCTCCAAGCGAGTGCTGTTTAACGATAAAAGAGAAGCTAGGCTAACCAAAACCTGTAGATAACTTTGAGTGACACGCAACACTCGAGATGTCCCGCCGTTAAAAGGATGTAAGAGACTTTTTGCCTAAATGTAATATGAGTATAGGAAATATTGAAATAAATAAAGTAAATAAGGAAATTGGCTAAAAAGTTATATCACGGGAAACTACTGTTAACAATTAATTTATATCATGGGAAATTACTGTTAACAATTAATTTGTATCATGGGTAATTACAGTTAACAATTAATTTATATCACGGGAAATTACTATTAACAATTAATTTATATCATGGGAAATTACTGTTAACAATTAATTTATATCATGAGAAATTACAGTTAACAATTAATTTATATCATGGGAAATTACTGTTAACAATTAATTTATATCATGGGAAATTACAGTTAACAATTAATTTATATCACGGAAAATTATTGTTAACAATTAATTTATATCATGGGAAATTACAGTTAGCAATTAATTTATGTCATGGGAAATTACTGTCAACAATTAATTAATATCATGGGAAATTACTGTTAACAATTAATTTATATCATGGGAAAATTACTGTTAACAATCTTATGTGATTTACTCAATGAATATTCATAAAAGAAAATACAAGCAACTTTAAAACTTCGTTGATTTTACTAAGTTAAAATTTTAGGCTAATTCTTTTTAAATTATACGATTTAACAATTAGTTCGGAATGTTTTGAATTCAATATATACACTGAAACCGGGTTTTTTGGAATTTAATAAAAATATTATTATTATTAGAGACAATAAAAAGTAATCATAAATCAGCCCAGTGAGAGATATTCCTATAAGGGAAATTTCATGGTACCTTTCTTGTCCGAGTGCAATATTTCTCTATGAATTTAAAAGTGGTTTATTCCATACTTTTGGGATTCATTGTTATATTTTTGTCACCTGGCTAGCTTACTTCTCTATCCAGTCTCACCTTGACTCACAATACTCATTATCCTGACTTGCTTAACTCACAAAACTAATTGTATTTTCTTACTTGAAGGTAGAAAACTCGTTAATCTGAGTTACTTAAAGTCATGGAAATTGTTATACTGTTTCAATTACGCTTAAACATTTCCATTCTTGATTTAGTTAACTCACAAAATTCGTCTCTCTAGAACATGCAAAATCAATCTGTTTAATAAAATTTTTAACTTTATCCTTCAACAATCACGTGAAGAATGTACACAAGACTACTTTGGATGTTAATGTGTTACGTTTTGCTGAAGTATTTTACTCACTTAAATTAATAGAAATATTAAAATTTCCGATGGGCAATTTGACTTCAAAACTACGTCTCACCGTTGCGCGATTTTATTGAGTAGTCAGTTATTTTACTTTTTACAGTTTTAACGATAATCTAATTGAAAAGTTTAAGACTAGGTTAACGTACAGAACACGCTAAATAACTTTTAACTAAAATTGTTAGCGACAATATGACGTTACTGGAATGAGAGGATAGTGAGCATTTTTAAAGAAATTATCGTGAAAACTTTTTTAAAACATCAGACATTGATAACGCCTTGAAATTAAGTGAGAAAGGCAAAAACAACTGGAAGCACCAGCGTGTTAATCAATGTTCAATACAGCATACACAGTATAATATATCGAAGGTGGAAAATAAGCATAACATGAAGTTACAAACTGCCATTCACACTAGTAACAAAATAAAAAGAACACCAATTTCTACCTTCAAATACATGTCTTCAGCTTTCTGATATCTCTTCATGCGAGTGAGAACATTTCCTGCATTCAAATATCCGCGGATATCATCGGGTTGAACTCTAGATAAATAAATACGTATATTTAAAATGAGTGTTTATTCTAAAGCTGTAGATAACATAGTTTAGAAAATTGGTTGAGAGCTAAGTAGGAAAAGTTTAAATATTTAAATATACAGAACACAATCTTATTATTGGTGATCCACGCATGAACAACTTAAGTTCTGAATAACTCTAGTAACCCGCCTATCCTAATCATTTATATATGAATTGTATAATTTTTGTATATGATATGCATGTGTGTGAAAGTTGTTAACACAAGATATTTGCTTTGTCGCACCTTGCCTCCCACTGGCTCAGCGGTAAATCTGAAACTTATAAGGCTAAAAAGCAGCTTTCGATACCCGAGGTGGGCATAGCATAAATAGCCCATTCTGTAGCTTTGCCCTTAGCAACAAACAGTCTAAGAAATGTTGTACCTTCAACTTATACAATAACGAGTGTTCATAAAATCCACATTAAACAATATTTTTCACCACGTAAAAGGCTTTTATTTAATCACAAGCTTCTGCTTCCGGATTCTTCCATGACCCCATATTTAGAAATGTGTAAAGGAAGGATGGGGACGGGTGTGGGTTTAAGCCTAATTTGCATCTTGAAGATGAAATACTCCAAAACGTGTGGTCGAATAAAGAATTCTTATTAAGTGGTGAACATTTTGGTAAATAAGTTGGCTTTTATAGACTTTATTACTTCTTTAAAAAACGGCGGTCCGGCATGGCCAGGTGGTTAGGGCGCTTGACTCGCAATCTGAGGGTCGCGAAGTTCGAATACCCGTTACACCAAACATTTTCGCCCTTTCAGCCTTGGGGGTGTTAT